ATCCGCGGTTCGCGTTACTACTACTCGCGGGGCCCTGCCGGCAACAAACACAATAGACATCGTTTACGACGACGTCTGGACGTCTCCTCGAGCTGAAGACTCCAACGGAACCTGGTTCCCGTACGATCGCGATTCAAAATCGCTAAAGGGAACTGTTTCCCAAAAAACCCGGTGTCACGCGATGAACTGATCGCTGACGGGCGCCCAACCTTTGTGTACACATTATATCATCAAACGCGACACACTCACACATGCCTCAATCATACGACTTTAAGTATGTATTCATCAATTAACGTCAAGGGTTTTTTATGCCTTCGGGCTTTTTCCCTTGCTCGATAACTCGAATAAACAATCAGTTCAACTCATCATAATCCAGAGTTTTCATTTAACCAACCGCATCCTTACTCTATCGTCCAGTCCTTTGAAATTTAATAACGTAATGATTCCTCCACTAATCGAATAAAATTGGAATTCTTCATGTTGAAGAGTTTCGACCGTACAGCATCCAAAATATCTATCGGATCTTGCGGATTATATTCATTTTTCTACGAATACATATCGTGTTCTATAAGAATTAAGAATAGATCGGCTCAAGGTATTATTCTTTTTTTTAAGAATAAAAAATTGTAAATATGTAAATAGCTAAGAATTTGTCAACTGCAATTAGTCTAATGTCTTTAGAGTAACTAATATAATTTTGTTTAACTGTTTTCATCTTAAAATGTGAGGAATACATGCTATATTAGAGCAACAATTGTTTTATTAAGCATAGTAATTATTTAAGACTTAAAAAATGTATATATAAAAACCACGCGCACTGTGCACATTTCTGGCGCGTGCTTCCGTACGGTGACGACACTTCGGCGGACCGGACTGCCGAAGCGAAAGGGTTAATGTAACCCTACAAATAAAAATCCAGTGGTGAAAGATTGGAAGATAGTGGCAGTCGAGAAATTCTACCACCGCGGCTGATCTAGCACCAATAATTTTTATTTAAAAACTACCTTACCTCGCGACTATAGTGTGATGTTGCTTTGTCCTGTTGAAAAATTAAATTCCTTCGAATACGAAGTGGAACATTCGAGGATCATATCAGTATACCCTCGATTACTGTATGTTGTCACGAATGCGCGGAAATTAATCGTTCTGTTCGAAAAGCATAAGATAATGTGGAGAATAACGCAAGAAATATTATGTTATCACCTTGACTCCCAATGCATTCCATGTGTAGAAATATTGTATATGCTGATAGAAAGGAATAAAAATAGTTCACAGCAATCTTTCACAGCGAAGTCAAACAGAAAGTAAATCAAGTGTAGGCATACTCGACAAATTTTTATTCATTTTCGACTTATTTTTGTATGTAGATACACCACTTTTCCTGGTTATACCACCAGTTACGGGACCTCCTATGTAGTATATGCCTCCTTGATGTCCCTGTTCTCGGGGAAATTGTGTCCAAAGATCCGTTTTCAACAGATAATCTCGTACTTCTGCACATGCGAGTATGGTGCGTGCACCGTCAGCTATTGCAGTAATGACTATCATCTGATATTTGTCCTACGGACACAACAATTCAGTTATTATACCCCACCCTTCCCTGCGCAACATTTCCTTTACTGGCAATACCCGATAAATAATTAATAAAAGCGACTTTATCATTTCTTTTATTGATTCTTCTTTGGTTCTACAGTTCACCAAGGTTTCTATTTTCATGACTCCTCTCAAATGCACACGAGAAAAGAGGATTCTACTGCAGAGTAAACCAGAGGCGACACTCTCAGTCGACACCTTTGATTTATCGAAAACACTGTTTCTTTAAATTGGTTGTACAAACGAGCGGAAATTTAAATCAAGCAAATCTACTTTCATGTCAACCGCTAATAATTTGGAATATATTTGTAGCGTGAAGAATGTATCGCGTACTACGTTACGATAAAAATTGAAGTTAAAAAATACCGCAACGCGATTTGCTTTAACAATCAATGTTACAAGCAATGTTTCAAAGTTCTCCCGACTGTTGGCGATTTTTTATGTTCGCAACGAAATGAAGAGCGAATATGAGAGATGTTTCTCTCGATAATGTGTACGTGAATCTGACGACTCGCTGTCGTCTTGACTCCGACGTTGTCGACGGACGCTGATTGGTTTTCGCCTTTTTTAGGAAATTCCGTCGCCTTTTTTAGGAAATTCCAATCAGCGTGTCCTTTGGGATTGGGCCCACCCTTCATAGCTCCCTTAGAACGTCTTCGTCTAGGAAGGGTGGGGAATCCGGTGAGTTGGCGGGAGGTCCCCGAACATCCGGCAACGGCGCGATTTTTTCTTCTAGGTACATTTGGCGACCATAAGTTCCCGTTAGGTCCGTGCGTGATCGTTTCTAAAGTACCCTTCGGAAAAAACCGTGTTTATGATCGTTGAGGATGAAGCGAAAATTAACTCTAAATTTATGGCAAGACATGTAGTAAAATTAACAACTAGAAAAAACCCGAAATATTCTAACTCAAAAACGGCTGCCTAACGGACCGATCATAAATAAACTTTCGAAATCCTCACCCAGATGTACCGTTGTACGGAACATGTTTGTAATAAATTTTCCGTGTATTACTTATATATGTATAAACTTTTGAGGTATTTTTATCAATTTTACGACGTTGAAAAATTGAAAAAGGAAAAAGTATACCAAAATTATTGCTCTACAAAATATATTTGGACAATATGTAT